GTCGCGCGGTTTTGACGGTGCGGTTTTGTCACCGCACTTTAGTCACACGCGCTTTAGTCTACCGCGGTTTTGTGGTGGAACCTGGTAAATATTATTGCAACTTACTGTGGCTACTGGAAAAACCAAGCTACTAAAGATCAAGTCTTTAATAGATGTCATGGTCGTGGCAATTCTTCGTTTCTTCATTAGTATGAATGCACTGGTCAGCAAGGCGATTCCATAGAAGAGAAGCTGCAAAACCTAAATTAATTACATCTTATGAGCAATTGATCATCCAAAATTAAGTTGTACATACTGTACCTCACCAAATTATAAGCTTATGCTTTAGAGGATAGTTTTCAGGTTCTTGCTGGAAATATTTTAATGATTTAGTTTGGGTGATAAACTGCCTCATTGAATGAACTTAAATAAGAGAAGGCAATTAAATGTGTAAATATCCAGGCATTACAAGAAGAAAATCACCTAAAAAAAAAAGTAATATGGATTCTACTCTCAGAGGAATTTTAATACAAAAAGGTTGTTTCATATTATCTACATGTGAAGTTGTGTATTATTCTGATTAGCAGTACTGTTTTGCTCCAAAAAACCAGATTGCTTCGATGCATCAGAACAATCCAATCCAATGTTTTGAAAAAAAAACACCACCAAATTGAATCATCAAAGCAGAGCAATTCAATATACAAACAATAACCAAAAGAGAACAAATCAAAGTGAGTTGTTGCTTCAATTTTGCATTCCACATCAATGGGATTAAATTAAATCCCTTTTTTTCAATCCAGTTGAAGCCTTTATCATTTGAATCGTCCCCATGGAAATGCATCACAAAACATTATACAAAATCAAGCCTACATTTGATGGAATGATGCTTGAGATACCAAATAATAGAAGGGAGGAGACCTAACCTCTCATTGCTCCTTCTTGACTGTTGTGGCCCATCAGGAGCCGTTGGAGCTGCCACCAGACTCCGACAGCGAGGGGCCCTATGAGTCGGCTCTCAAGGATGTGGAGGACCCTGGACAGGGTTCTGACTCCGAGCAAGGCGGAGAGAGACTGGTTGGCCACCAGGTAGCGCCTGAGCCTTAGACCAGTGGGGAGGAGACAAGGGAGAGTGATCCAGAAGCCAGCAGTGAGTTGTTCCTGGATGCACGCCATCGAAGAGCTACTCGGGGTCATTATGCAATTACAGGAGGTAATTGCGCTCAGCTGGTGGTCATCAGGCTCCTCTCCAGACTATAAAAGAGACTGCTTGTGACATGCT